CGGCCCCGGCTCCCGCGGCCTGGGGTGGGGACTGTGCCGCGCTCCAGGCGGTCGGGCTGGTCCCTTGGGGCCCTTGTGTCCCTCTGGGTAGCTGGGGCCCGGGGGGAGGTGCGGGCTTTAAACCTTCCTGGGAATCATGGGGGTCCGTATCTATCTCCATTTTGCTGCTGGCGGCTTCCCCTTCCTTGTGTCCCCAGCGGGATCCGTGCCCCGGTTCAAGGGTTTGGCTGCATAGCGCTCTTGAGCGAAGCCACTCCTGACGTAACTGGACGGGGAAGTCGGCCCCGTTGTCTCCAAACTACTTTTCAAAAATACTGGATGGGATGCGGTGACTTCCTGCGCACCGGCAGGGTTTCGCAACCTGCCTTTACAGCCAGGGGTTACATTTGCGGGTGATATAATCAGAGTCCGTTGCAAGATCTTTTGGGCAGGGATGTGCTTTACTGTATGAGTGTTACCTAGCACAATAGGGCCCGAGCCCAAATTGCGACCTCTAGCTATACAGCTGGATGACAAATAATTAGAAACTTGGCATGTGCATCCTCTGTAGAGAATAATGTATATACGTGTGACATTTTGTAGGCATTATTGTTTAAAGCTATTTTTAGGATGCTTTTAAGTCTGACTTTATGCATAGCTGCTAGCGTCCAGTGCAGAGACGGTGTGTACCGTGTTTGTTCCTCTTGGCATTTCAGTGCTGGACACTGTTGAATGTGCTCCATGTAGAAACTCTTCTAGGCATTTTGGAGACTTTCTTACTGGATGTCAGAGCTCAGGGGAGCATCACAAGCCAGCTGGAAAACAAGACTCGTTTTATGCAGTTAGATTTTTTTTTTTAAGTGGAAACAAAAATCCCAGTGTAGTCTGAGCATAATCGGGTATCACAGAAAAAAACTTGCATAGATAGATTGAAGAGCATAATTACAGCTAGAAGAAATTTCCATAAGCTTTGTATAATATAGTATGGTGGTTTCATCTTTAAGTTAATGATCAACTTGTTAGGAGAGCCCTAAAAAGTTAGCATGTATTAAGACTTAAAAATGAAATGTTTAAATGGTCTAACAGATAAGTGCTGGTTTTGATATTGTATGAGACGCCTGTCTTGCTTTTATTGCTTGTGCTTCACGAAAGGAGTGTTCCAACACATTTGACTGAGATTTGTTAATAGTGCTGCAACTTACTAGCACTGGTAGAAATGGCCACCTGTGATTTTTTTTTTTCTAGTTAGCTTAAATTGATGTAAAATATTTTTTACATCAAAATTATTGTCTCTTGTCTGTCTTCTTTTAATAGAAGTGTTTTATCTGTTTGTTCAGTGTTTTGAAGGAATGATTCTAGATTCAATGTAATAATTCCTATTTAAAATTGTCTTTAGAGTTAGTATCACTTACTAAATAAGTAGCTGCTTTTTGTGTTTCTCAAAACACTTTAGAAGACTGCTGCTTTATCTGGGATAGGCTACAAGCTCAGTCTTTATTACTAAAGCCCATATTTAAAAAAAAAATAGGTACTTAGGACACTGTATTAATAAACAATACCGTATTAAAAAACAGAAGGCTTTAAACTAGAGAGGGATGTTACTTTTAGAAACCATTGCAAACTAATGTGGCAGCATTATTCCGGTGCATGAAAGCTGGAAAACAAAAGCCAGTGATTTTCAACAAGGGTGCCATGGCACCCAGTGGTGCCTTGAGTTCCTTCCAAGGGTGCTGCAGGGTGCCACGCAGTGTTAGTGCTGCTAGATGTACATGCATGTACACTATTCACAAGATAAATAAAAAAATTTCAAATAAGTCCATTGTGCTCAAAACATTCTGACCTGTGTTTTTTCCCTGTTCTTTGCAACAGAATTGCTCCATTATTTTTCTATAGTAAGAAATGAGTAAAAACTTTTTTTTTTCTTTTTTAAAGCTGGCATTTTCTGAGGGGTGTGACTTGAGTCTAAAAAGGTTGAGAACCACTGACCTGGCTGAATGAAGTGCAGGGAATAAGCAGCTTAAATAGTGAAAAGTAAACTTTATTTTTTTTTCTGCTGATATCTAAGACAAACAAGAACATTACAAGAATATTTCATAGACATTAGGGGCTGGAAGGGACCTTGTGAGATCGAGTCCAGCTCCCTGCCGTAGGCAGGAAATCAGCCAGGATCAAGTGATCCTAGCAAGAAAAATAAACAGATTTTTTTTTTTTAAGACTCCAGAGTAGGTGCTTGCACCACCTCTGAGGGGAGTCTGTTCCAGACCCTGGACATTTGCACCATAAATAACATTTTTCTTATGTTTAGTCTGAATCGTTCTTCCTGGAGTTTATGGCCGTTAGACCTTGTTATCCCTTGGGGAGCTCTGGTGAACAGCTGTTCTCCCAGGTCCTGATGTACCCCTCTTATATAATTGTAGGCTGCTACCAAGTCACCTCGAGCCTTCTCTTTTCCAGATTAGAGTCCCAGATCCCTCAGCTTCTCGTTGTACAGGCTTCCCTCCAGGCCTTTAATTTTTTTACGGTGCTCTCCTTTGGACTCTCTCAAGCTTTTCCACATCCCTTCTGAAGTGGGGGGCCCAAAACTGGATGCAGTACTCCAGCTGCGGCCTCACCAAGGCTGAGTAAAGCAGGAGGATGATGTCCCTGGTTTTGCTTGAAATGCATCGGTAGATGCATGCCAGAGTTTGGTTTGCTTTGCCAGCCACAGCAGTTAAAAAAGTCTTTTGAAGCAGTTGACTCTTTCCACCCCCCAGCTGAGTGCAGAAATTCTAAACTGCTTCCTGAAATGCAGCACTCCTTTAAAAACATATTTCCGGTGGGTGGCTAATTTTCATTCCACTGACAACCTCACCTTCACCATCATGGTCTGCCATTCTTCAGTTGATAGAACAATGCCATAGATTGAAATTTTAGAACAAAACCCCCTCAAACTGAATAATATTCTGGTTAATCTAGAATGTAATAGTGCCTTTCAGTAAGGGAAAAGATTTTAACTCTTAAGTGATAACCTGCTATTTTTATCCTAGGAGCGTTGTGTATGCTATTTTAAATTTTATAAAATATGAGAAAAGAGCTAGGCCTTAGGCCGTATCATGCAAGGCAGAATTCTAGTTCAGGTAGACTGGTAGAAGAAAGGAATTCCAACAGATGTTAACAGAGGATGCTATTGGTTCTTTGGCATCTAATTTTAGCAAAGTGTTAATTAAAGTGCTTCAGCTGGCCTCCACTGGCATGGTTGTAAGGGCTGTGTTCTCCCAGTCAGTATACAAGAAGTCTCCTGCTATAGCACTACCATCTGTGCAGCTCCACTGGTGTTGGCAATGGAGGGAATGCTGCTGTACGCTGCCTGCCAGCATCTTTATTACAATGTCATCTTATTCTGTTCAAAGTAGGTATAGTGTGTTAGGAGATTTCTCAAGCTTCTTAGTTATAGCTAAGGAGAGAGAACTTCCTGGGTTTCGAGGTACTAAAAACCTTGTGAAATCCTACATAAGTCACTACTTTGAATTGTACCTGGAAGTGAATGGAGTCCAGTGCATTCTTGGGGAAATTTGGTATAATAATTACTGTAAAACTAGTTATATGGTGTCTCATCTGCCTGTGTTCTAGCAATCTAATCTAGAAAATTCTTGTGGTTAACAGGGAAAAATCTGAATTACAGCCTGATGTTACTAATTTAGGATTCTCTTAATAGGGTTGCAAGGTTGAATGTATGGTTAAATAATTGATGGCATTTTTGTAATACTTCCCAGATTGATCTGCAGAAAAAATTAAAACCATCTGTTGATCCATCTTAATTTCCAGCCCTCAGGTGTAAAGATGTATTTGCTATACAGTTAGATGCCTCCCTTAGCAAGTGGCTAAATGCTTTTCAAACTAAGTTTGTTAACATAATGCTTTAATAGGAGATGAGGAATAAAAATTAATGTAGGATTACCATAGTGAAGGTAGGTGTTACATGTTCGTTTCTGAGGTTGGTAACTACGCAAATCTGATTCATAGGGCAATGAGCCAAGAAGCTAGGGAGGCAGGAAACCTAAAATGGAACACAGGGTTGTTGGGCCTGTTTTTTCTTGTTTAACAACTGTCTGGTGCATGTTGCAGAACCATGCTACAGTTTTGAGTCTGGAATGACATTTTTTTTATCACCTCTTTTCTGAGCTGCTCTGAGTAACCCCAACAGTTGCCTCACTTGGTGAGATGAAGGGAGGCAGTCAAAAGGAGTAGGGGGGAAAGTGTTCTTTAGTCACTTGTGAAGATGTGGAATTCAGTATTAGTTTTCAGTACAAACCAGGATGTATAGTGTGATAGGCTTGTCTAGGATGGGTCTTTGAGCCTGACTATGTTGTAGATTCTACAGAAGGTTTTGTCTCCAAGTCCTAGCAAGGGGCTTGAAGAATGTGACATTTTAGTTCTTCTAGGGTTCATGGTTTTGATTAATCAGTTATACATTAGACCAGTCTATTCAGTTCTCTGGCATTTTGAAAAGGCTTGGTTAAAAAATGTTCTTTCAAATTTTCTTTTTGGAACTGTTGAATACCCCAGTGCATTAGTGTCTTTGTTATAGAAATCTATTAGTTTAATTATATATAAAATAAAAAGTAAACTAATAGGCTAATATATGTATATTATCCATGGGATATATATCGATATATATTTTATACAAAAAATAAAAGATGTGTGAGGTTACCATCTTCAGAGAATGCCAACAAGCCCTGAGTCTGAAAATGTGTAATTTGTGTACAGAGCTTTATAGTACTTAGCATTTATGCTGTGCTAATCTTCGGATATTAATCCTTACAGCAAACATGTGATGCAAGTAATGAATGCCTACTTTGCAGGCTGGGAAAATGTAGAGAGGCTGTGGCATAGCTGAGACTACAATTCTGGGAGTAGCTGGTCTCTTGTCCTGAGCCCAAACACTGAACTACACTATACCCATCCATGGCTTATACCAGGGGTGGCCAGAGTTACTCACCCTGGGAGCCACATCCCATCCTCCACCAAAGTTCAAGAGCTGGAGGGGTAGGGGGTGCTGAGTGACACAGAGTAAAGGTGACTCCTCACCCCCCCGCACTGCTGAGCCACTCTGGCTTTCCCTGTGGGGAGCTTTCCCCATGGGGAAGCCTGGCACCTGAGCTGGCAGTCCCAGAGGGAGAGAAGGAGGGAGGAGGGCGGACTCGGGGCATGCTCCCTGTGGGGAAAGCTGGAGTGATGGGAGGTGCTGGGCTGCGCTGTCCTCCGGACCTGCCTTGGGAAGAAGTGGGCAGGGCTTTGGCCAATTTCCAAAGAGCTGCAAGTACTGTGCTGGCGAGCTGCATGTGACTCGTGAGCCATGGTTTGGCCACCATGGGCTTAGACTTATGAGATTCTGGATATTGCAGGCATCTTTGGTTTCTCCAGATATTTTTGATAGGAGGATTCCCAGCCCATCTCATGTATACAACTGTAAAACTCACCTGAAACTGCAGTAAAAATTCGACACTAGTCAAGTATAGAAGTAGATGTCATAATTAGAAGTATCATTTGGCACAAAACATAGTGCAACCCTGAACAGGAAAACCTCAGTTTCTGGTAAAGGCTGAAACTCAGACATTTTTCATATGTCTTTTGAAGAAATTAAAATGTGGTGAGGGTAAACTTTGTAAGACCAAAAAATGATAGTAGAGTGGGTATTGTGCTGCAAGGAAAGGGAGAATTGCAAATTGCAGCTTGACACATGGAATAAAATGCCAAAGAACCATCCTGATCAGATTGGGCCTGGATTTCTCTAAGGCTCAAATGTTACTGTAATATAGCTTGTCATGATCGTAGGGTATTATTGAACTGAGATTTAAAAGAAGGTGGTGAAGAATCCTATTATTGGCAGCGTTGCAATAAATGGTTAACTTCTAGCTCTGACAGAGCATGGGTCTTACCTAGTACACCTTGGTGCTTGACCAGATTCCAACTTCTGGAGCCTTTTAATGAAATTTAAAGGACAAGAGGATATTTTTAGCAGTGATGTTTTAGTTATGGAGATTTCGTTTAACATTACTAAGTAAGGTAAATACAGCAGTGTGTGTGGCTGGCCCTATGAACACCAAATATGAAAGATACATGAGCTAGTATGAATAGTAGGTGTATAATCCTTGGAAACGCATCAAGGGTTAAGAGTGCTGGTGTCTTGTTTAATCAGCACACTGCTTGCCCAAAACTTCTGCATGGACATAATGCATGTCTTGCATTAGGATGAACATCTTTTAAGAAAGAGGTAATCAGCAGAAAGAACATAATCCCACAACTAATATCTCTCTGCAGCAACTAATTGTGAAGACATCCTCTGGAGTCTGTTGTTGAAGGATATTGCTCTTAAGTGAGAAACGAATATGAAACCTAGAGGAACTTGAAAGTATCAGAAGCCTGCTTTCTCTTCAGATGCTGAGTCTCTTTGAAAGAGAAAAAAAACTAAGTAGTCAGATCTCAAGTATCTTAAGCCGTATTAATTGAAACCATTATGAGAATGTAGTTTGTCCCTTCTTCAGTGTTTGACTTGGGAGAATGCTGGGAGTAGAGAACTGACTGTTGGGCTTTAAAAGAAGTGTGGAAGGTAGATGTCTCTGAATTATCTGAACCTGTTTGGGATTTTAAAAATTTTTGCTGGGGGAAAGATTTTTTTTTAAGTGCACACAACTTGGTTTCAATGTTAGGATATGGTTTTAACTAAATAATTTCCACGAGATGGCTGGGTTTCCAAGGAAGGGATGTTACCTTTTCACTGTCATGTTGCAGTATTATGATATGCTCTGAAGGGCTGCCACTTCTGTTTCACTGAGCCCTCCAAAATGGCATTGTGATAAATTGGCAATAGTTTCTCATTAGGGTTAGGTGACAAAAGTATGAGTTGTCTGAAAGGTGAGGTGAGGCATTTGAAGGAGCTGTATGAATGGTGGCTGTCGTTTCTATTCAGTGAAACTGGTTAAGACGCAGCAAAATGAGTTGGCTACTAATATATGTGGCCTCGTTAATTTAAGCTTGAACAAAATAGTCTAGGTCATAATGTTTGCATATTTTGGAAGATGCCTATTAATTATTCAGATCTACCTTGACCACTAAGAATCAGTTTATTTTCTGACTAGTCTGTTTACTAGTCAAGTCAGCTTCAAGCCCAGGCTTGACCCCTTACAAATTCAGGTTTAAATTTAAACTTTTTGCAAATGGATGAATGAATGTAATTTGGGGGGGAGTGCGAAGGCCTGGTTATATCTGGAAGGTTTTTTATTTTCCATCACATGTAAGAGTACTGCCTTAAATTACTTTAATCTCTTTACAGTGCTGTAGGTAAAACATGCCTACTCATCAGTTACACAACCAATGCTTTTCCTGGAGAATACATCCCCACTGTGTAAGTATAATCATGAAACCTTATAAACTGATTTAATGCATTCTTTATACTTGCCATCACTAGAGTTTATATAGTTTAAACAAGCAGGAAACATCTTTCAGCTTTGTCTGAAAGGTTAATTTCAACTCTAGATTTATTTCATGAGAAGTATTTTTTGGCTTGCACTAACCTGTTTGTCAGGTGGCCATGTGCAGTAGTATTCATGTGATAAGTTATTTTTTTGTGGACTCTTGATCAGTTCACATCTACTTTGCCCAATAACTCATTTCTTCTGGGACTGTGTTTAACATTGTCAGCTACAGTTATCTTTAAAGAAAACCTCATGGTTACTTCCGAAGGCAGAATTCCTATGTACAAGTGACATTCAAAGTTCAGACTCTTGCAAGCCATTCAGGACTGCAAACAGAATCACAAGGAGCGGTTTTTTTGTTTGTCTGTGGTTTTGTTCTGTTTTTTAAATATGTACCAGAGAGCTGGTAGGGTTTTGTCCCTTCTTGCAAGCCCTCCTCAGTTGCCAAGCACAGTTCCTATAGTAAGCATTACTAAAGAACATCTGTTATTTTGGCACTTCCTGTGATTTTGCAGTTCAGGGTTTTCAACACTTGTATTATTTAAATCCGTTTTAAGGAATTTGTAATTTAATTCACCCCCACCTCCAATTCAGAGTAGGGTGGAACTTTTTACACAGGCAGCTTTCCCTGCTCTGCTCTGTCCTCATTTAAAATATAAAATATGTAATTGTTCTCCTACAAATGGTAAGAGTGCAGCCGAGATTTTCAGGTACTAAAATATATTGTACTATAAATGTACTGTGGAAATGTTTCTCTTCCTATTGGTCATTGCTACCCTTATTTTGCTATACCTTTTCTGTTTCCTCAAGTTGTACTGTAAATACCTCAATGACTTTTCATATGAAACATTTTAATGTAGTCCATCTTTAGACTTTGCAGTTTATTACTGTTTTATAGACAAAAGTTTACTGCATTCTCAGTTCTGGCTTAAATGTCATAAAAAGTGGTGGTCTTAAAAAGGATCTTTCCTGTTTATCTGTTTGCCTCCGAGTAGATTTTTCCAAATCATTTTGATGCCCTAAATTTACAAGGCTCGTGTTTGCCCACTGAGACTCTTAAATCCTTATTAAGTATTACTCATCTTGCTTCTTTTGTTACATGCATAGAACAATAACAATAGGTTTTTAATTCTTACACAATACAGAGGCAGATTAGGTGGCTGATAAGTGTCCCATTCAGAGGAGTAAGTATTTGTCAGTTAAGTGAATCACCTTTTTTCCCAGACTTGTTTGCTTAGCAGTTTTACACATTTTCTGATAAAAGGTAGTGAAAAGAGACTAACTCCAGCAGACTTAGTTTGAGCTGCATTTTCCCTTCGAATATTCCATATCAGACTTAATATTTAAAGAATAATCATTCATTATTTGGGGCAGGAGGCTGTACTCTGGCAAGTGCCTTTTCTGTCCATCATGTTTGACTGGGATTTTGTGAGAGCTCAACCTCTGGGACTTATTGCAGAAGAAGAATTTGGTTCCAGCTTGGAAGCATTTCAGATGATCTCACTTTGTATTTTATATTATAGCTTTGACAACTACTCTGCTAATGTAATGGTGGATGGAAAACCAGTGAACCTGGGTTTATGGGATACAGCTGGACAAGAGGACTATGACAGATTACGTCCATTATCGTATCCGCAAACAGTAAGAATCTATAGCACAAGAGTTGAAATTACGTTTATAGCCTAAGTAGTCTAATTGTCTTTACTGAACATAGCTATGGTTAACACTCATATTTAATAGCAAAGTTAACCTCTTGCAAATTTCTGCTTAATGCTGCAGGTGTAATACTTTAGTATACTTCAGTATGAGAGCATTCTGCATTTAGCAGATGTTAAAACCTGCATTACCCATTGCCTTTCTATGTAGTTGCAGCCCCAGAATTAACTGGAATATTTATAAATTTGGTGAATGGAGTAGTCTCATCAGCAAGTCCATTGATTTAAGGTTAGCATGCCTGCCAAAAGTAGGATTTGTCTTTGTTTCTCAGGCGTGCTGTTTTGGTTGCCCACTGACATGAACATTGCTAAGCACTTGATGTCATTCAGCCTCATTTGGTTCCAAAGGTAGTATTAAAAGTGCAAGTGGCATGCCTTTAAAAGAAAATGTTGCTGTTGATGTGGGCACTGTTCCGTTAGAGTTCTTAAATTATTCCAGCCCAAGGCAGTTTTTATTGTGCTCTTACAGTTACAGTATTAAACGGGAGAAATGTACATGTTGCTTCATTGCTTGCAATCTGTCAAATCTTGAATATGCATATGCTGTCCCCTGCTTCTCTTGGATAGGGAAGATGAAGTAGTCTTCTCTGTCTGTAGCTATCACAACAGCTCAGCTAATATCTTCTAGATGCTAGTCTCCTGAAGCTGTCTTCTGCTAAGCCCAGTGGTCTTGGTTTGAGGAGATTCCTTTTTCTAACAGAACTGTCCTTGTTCTAAAGGAAAGTGGTAATTTGTAGTTATTACAGCAGAATAATTACTAGCTACTACAGTGCAGGAAACCGGCTTTCATGTTTTCAGATCTTGTTCAGTTAGTCTGTGGTCTGCCTGTACTCTCTAAGACAAGACTTTTATTAAATGAACCATAATATTTAAATTTCTGGTAAACATATCTTAATTCATTAGTCTCATTTCTCGTTGTGCCCATCAGTCCTTACAGTTAAGTTTTCTTCTCAGCTCATAGACTAGAGGCTACTGCTATTGTGTCAGTTAGAGAATGGCAGCAAAACTGCCAGAAACTTCTGTTTCTGCCAGCAGCTAGGAAGAAAAAGCAGTTATTAGACCCTCCTCATAGTAGGTGATAAAATTGCTAAGACTGCCCAAGAGCCGGTCAGCATCATGGAAACACAGGCTGCAGTCAAGTTTGAACAGATAAAAGGATGTGGGAGGAGGGACCATAGGCCAAGCTATGCTTTGGGGGTGGGCCATGCTTTCATACCTGATGCAGTGAGCAGTGTGTGTGGGCTGCTGTGATTTTGGGTTATAGCACACAACAGATATTGCATGCAGTGTATAATGGATCGATCTTACATCATTAATAATGGCTCTTGCATCATAAATAATGATTGTAATTTATGTGCAAACACTTGGAGAATATGCTGTACTGTGTGCTGCTTTCTAGCAAGAGGAATATAAAAACAGAAAATAAAATCATATTTTAGGCACTGCTTTTTATTTTATTTTAAATGTTTTCCCTCTCCCCACTCTCTTGTGCTAATGCTTACCCAGCTTTAGACAACACTGCCTCATCTTGTATTTTTAAGAGCTTCTTGATTTCACTATTTAAAAATGTGCTGTTGCTAGAAATCCTTGGTCATGGTTATAATGTGAATTAGAAAGCACCAGTTCAGGTAGAACCTGACTTGCCTCTGGATCCTGACTTTCACCAAATAGTGACAGTAAACTTGACAGGAACCTGTTTGTGAAGCCATGTGCAAAGTCAGGCTTTGCTGAATGCTGTAACAGTACTGTCAGCGATGCTTTTGATCAGAGGGCACGTGTGCGTATATGGAGTCTTCCTAATATGTTTTTCAAGCAGAGTCTGTGCTGGCCCATGTGCTGGCAGGCTTTGCACTGAGTCCCTGGCCCCCAAGCTGCAGTTTTGTCATTCTGCTGTGTGTAAAGGACAGTACATGTGTAAAGCCAGGCCTGTGTTCACAATGCTCTGTGTGGAGGTTAGCTGTTTTGGGGCTAAGTATTTAGTGTAATGGTCAGGTAGCTGCAAGAAGTGCTTGTGCACATGCTTTGATCAAAGAGCATATGCAGCTGTTAATGGTGACTTGGGCATAGGTGATATAGGGAGAACTTTGGACGTAAGGGACCTTAACAGCCGAGATAGCGTAAGATTCCCTGAGGCGTGTTGGAGAATGGCCTCAAAATGCTCTCTTTG